CCTCGAGGCATGGTCGACGTTCTTGAAAGTTATGGAAGATAACAGCTTTGAGATTTAGAGGTCGGCATGGAGGTAACGCGCTGATTTTCCTGATAGCGGTACAAATTGCAGGAAAGTAGATGATTTATAAGTGGGAAGATCAATCGGACAAGAGACGACCGTGGCATGGTCGTAGTATCTCTCTCTCTCTCTCTCTCTGTCTCTCTCTCTCTCTCTCTCTCTATATATATATATATATATATATATATATATATATATATTTAACTGTACTTGTATACAATGCACACATATATATATATATATATATATATATATATATATATATATTTATATATATAATGTATATATAATATTGTATATAAGGTGATTAGTTATCACAATATATCCATAATGAAGTTTTATACCATCTTATTTTCTTGTCCTTTCTCAGACCTCAGCACAAAGTGTGTCGCACCTAACAACAGTTCCGGCTGAGGCTGACACCTGTTCAGATTCATGTACCCCGTTGTAGTACAACGAAGCATTAGGATAAACTTTCAGAATAAACTAAATTAAATGTGTTGGGTTGTCAACAGTTCGATCCCAACAGCGGGTAGTACGAGACCCCCTGTACTGTCCGTAGTTGACAGAGGCCGGAAATGTAACTTCCAGACGACCAGGATCTTCACGCAACATGAGGTAGTCGTCGGAATCTACAGCAACGAAATGTCAACAGGAGAGAACTATAGAACTTCTTGATAGAAAAGTTTCATATAAAAATTAAGTTATGTTAAATAGTAAACTGTTAACTCGGAACAGTAAGTTCAACTTTTAATTTTCCATCTGATAGTAAAGCACCTATACATCCATCGGAAAGTTCTCGAACAGTAAATGTTGAAAACTAAAACTAGAGAAATAAATCTAGAAAGTGAACATCTAGAAAATTCTTACTAGAAAATTACCGTCTCTAGATAAGTTGTATGAGTGAACTGGTTTGAGAACCATCTAGTAGGGTTTCTAGAAACGTTGATCAGTGGGGAACTTTTTCTAGATTCTAGAACTGATATTTTTATATTTTTATTTTTCATTTTTTTTATATAATTGAACGGGTGTGGTACATTTTGAAAAATGTGTTCACCCGCTGTTGTTGTGGAATTGAGTATGAACTCTAGGATATTAGGAGTTTTAGAAACTCATATTAGGTGTATTTTGTTGGTTAAGAGACATGTCTGTGGACATTGATTTTTTTTTAATAAAAATATTTTTGTGTGTTCCTCAGATTTTAAGGATCAAGGTACGCTGTGGTGGGCAGTTGCCACAGGTGTGGAGTAGAACACTAGATCCTTGAAGGGTAGTGTTCTCTATTAGAATATTTTTTCTTTTTTTTCTATTGAATTTTAATGACATTGTTATTTTTAATGTTTCTATTTTATGTGATGTGTTTGATCTTTATTCCAGGAGGAATACTGGGATAGCTGAGGGCTATCGGATGATTTTCACTAGTTGTAAGTTGTTGGGTATGGATTTTTTACAGTTTATTGTTACTATATCAGGACAGGAATAGGATGTTTAGTCTTCCAGGTAGACGGAAGGGTATGGGACTGCATCCAAGTTGGACAGCCAGGATTATAGGGACAGTCTCGGTCCTTATGTTTTATTGCTGTTTTTTTGTTATGTATGCATACATGCTGGGGCACACCTTTTGGGGGAGTGTCATTATTGTTTTTGGAGGATTGTATGGAATTAGTTAGGATTAGATAATTATTTTTGTTTTGAGGCATTGGGTCATTTATTGTTGAGTTAAATGTTCTTTTTTTTTTTTTTGAGTTAATGGTCATGGTAGGGCAGGATGAGAATTATGTGCTTTAAAATTCTTTACACGCAAATTTCTTGATTTCCGACGAAGGGGAGTTGTAATGGTATGTGCAGACCATAGCTCCTTCCCCCTTCCCGTTCCCCTTCCTCTCCCCATCCCTCGCTTGCCTGCCCCTCCCCTGTTCATCCCTCCCATGTATCAGTCCGACCCTCTGGTCATTCTCCCCCTCCCTGTTGGCCATTTCCCATTATAACAAGAGTCAAATTACCCCTTAGGCAGGTGGTCAAGTCACTTGTTCTCCCAATCCCTACGTCTCCAATCCCTCCAAATCATTTGTCTCCCTGTCCTTTCCAATCCGTTCCCCTCTCCTGCTCCCTTCGCCACTAACCATTTGACAGTTTTAGACCAGTGACGAATTACGTAGTTCTCAAGCTTCGAGTGAGGAAGCTGGGAGCCATATACGGCTGTGGTTTCCTGTGTAGCGTGGGATCGGTTCATGATTCTACGGGAGTAAAACAGAACTTTTGAGGACAGGCTTCAGCTTCCAAGGAGGCTAGGGGCGGTGCTAAGTCAGAGGTTTTGGCTGGCCTAAGAGTGACAGTCTGTAGTCATTGGTTGAGCTTTGATAGGCAGAGTTAATTGGGCCAAGCAACTAAGTGGGTGGAGCCTGTTCCACTGGTAAGAGTTTTAGAAAATATTAGAGTTAGTGTGTCTTGGGGTGTCAACTGGGGGTACAGGTCTTCTGTTCCGGGTGCAGCCAATCAACATCTTGGCCGAGGTTGCAGGATTAAGGTCATGTCTGTCTGAGTTTTGGTACAACAGTAAATGTTCCTCAATTTCCATTTGGCCTCTTAGGATGTCTTATCAAAGTAGGATATAACTTTCAATTTGATTTCAATACGTGTTTTAAAATAATAAAGTGTTTCAATGTAATTGTATTTAGTTATCTGTTCCCCCTTACTTTTGATTGCTGTGAGTCATTTTATAGATATTCTCGGATGGTATTGGAAGCCTTCGGCAGTAAAGATTACAGTATTACTTCACAAGAGTTATTTACCAAGATTCTTATTTGCCCCCTTTGAGTTCCATGATTATTGAGTCCCTTCCTTCCTGGGAAAACAATAATTTAGACACATTCATTTATGGTTGGGAAGGTGGTGGCAGTGTTTAATGATTTTAATTATTAGTTATGAATTAATAACCCCTGTTCTTGTTGTGTCCTCATTTAATATTCAGCTTATATTCGTGGCAGTTCAGTGAGGGGTCATACTGAACTGTAACAGTGTTAAGCTGGGGTATTGAGTGAAGGGTTAGAGTAAAAAGTAGAGAGAGCAGAGTGAAGGGTTCATTACACTATAGCGACTATATGATTCTGTGTACGTCCATCCAGAGTGGACGTATTCTAATTACTCTGTACATCCATCCATAATGATAATTGGTACAATGTACGTCGATCCATAGTGTCTATAGGTACAATGTAAGTCTATTCATAGTGAATATAGTTATTGTGAACATCCGTCCATTGTCACTATAGATACTGTGTGCGTCCATCCATAGTGACTATGGGTACTGTGTGCGTCAATCCTTAATAATTATAAGTACTATGCATGTCCATCCATAGTGGCTATATGTACTAAGTTCGCCCATCCATAGGGACAATAGGTACAATGTACGTCCATCTATAGTGACTATTGGTAATATGTACTTCCATCTATATGGACTATAGGTACTAAGCACGTCCATTTACAGTGACTATAAGTACTCTGTAAGTCCATAGTGACCATAGGTACTGTGACTATAAATAGTGACGATACGTACAGTGTGCATCATCAAGAGTGACTATAGGTACAGTGTACGTTTATCTATATTAACTATAGGTTCCGTGTACGTCCATTAATAGTGAATATAGGTTCTGTGAACATCAAACAATTGTAATTATGGGTACTGTGTACGTCTGTCCATTGTGACAATAGGTAGTGTGTACATTCATCAATAGTGATTAAAGGTACGGTGAATTTTTCTTCGTAAAGATTATAGGTAATGTGAACGTCCATTAATAGTGACTATAGGTACTGTGTACTTCCATTCATAGTGAACATTGGATTCTGTGTTCTTCCATTCATAGTGATTATAGGTACTGTACATCCATCAATAGTAAATATAGGACCTGAGTACGTCCATCCATAGTCACAATAGGTACTATGTAAGTCCATCCATAGTGAATATAGGTTCTATGTTCGTCCATCTATTGTGACTGGGGGTACTGTGTACATCTGTACATAGTGACTATAGGTACTGTGTATGTCCATCCATATTGACTATACATACTGTGTGCGTCCATTCATTTGACAATGGGTTCTGTGTACATCCATCAATAGTGATCATAGGTACTGTGTAGGTCCAGCCATAGTGACAATAGGTACTATGTACATCCATCTTTAGTGACTATATATACTATGTACTTCCATCTATAGTGACTATAGGAACTGAGTATGATGATTCACAGTGAATATATGTCCTGTGTACGTCCATACATTGTGACTATAGGTACTTTGTACATCTATCCATCCATAGTGACTATAGGCATGATATACCTTCATCCATATTGAGTATAGGTATTGTTCACGTCCATCCATAGTGAGTATAGGTACTATGTACATCCACCAACAGTGACTATAGGTTCTATGTACGTCAATCCATAGTGAGTATAGGTACTATGTATGTCCATCCATGGTGACTATACGTAGTTAGTTGGTCGATCCATAGTGACTACTGGTACTATGTATGTTCATCTGTAGTGACTATAGGTACTGTGTACGCCCTTCCATACTGACTTTAGTTATTGTGTATGTCCATCCATTGTAACTATAGGTATTGTTCACATCCATCCATAGTGACTATAGGTACTATGCTCGTCCACCCATAGTGACTATAGGTATTGTGCAGGTCCATCCATAGTGACAATAGGTACTATCATCTTTGAATGACAGTCTGTGCTTGATGCTGAATACTTCATTTTCCAAGATTCTTCAACAAATTGGAGACATAATGGAACCAGAAACAAGATAATATTATGTTAACAATAATCTTGTTGTACTCATTTCAGTGCCTAAAATCTTGAGTGAAGTCAAACAGACATGAATCGATTGACGAAACTGACAGACATGGAAACACCGACACGTGTACTCTATATATGACTCCTTACCTTGCGTATTGCTGCCATCAAGTGTCAGGTGAGTGGAGACCAGGTCAGTCAGGTTGGTCATCACCTTCAGCATACTTTTCACACCTGTAAACAATTGCCAACAATTAAGATCGAATCCTTACATGAGTTTCTATGATGTGCTCAGCACCAGAGATTAGATTGTGTACTTTGACTTATGGTGATGTTTTTATATAAGTAGCAAATATTTAGTTTAGTACTAAGTTAAAAGGAACTCTGAACATAACTTTGCTTATACTCCTACCTTCCTGGACGCCTCGCTGCTGCTCCTGCAGCTGTTGCAGAGCTATCTGGTTAAATATGATGTTTGGTATCAAGTCGAATTCCTCTGTGTGGTCCATGGTGGCCTCCGGGAGGGCAGCCGACCAGCCAACTAGGACACAGAGAAGAGGCAGCAAACAGGCAGACATGACTGTCACCTCCACACTTACACTTCACACTAAGCAACGCCCCTGCATGACTGCTGGCTGGCCGGCTGGTCACCACGCACTAAGTACAGCCGCGCTCAACGCCCACACTGATAAATATATTGTACCACCAGGAAACTATGCTTCAATATGCCCAGTTCTTACACATGCTTTTACAAAATGATAAAATCAAGAGAGAAAAATGAGCATAAGAGAATAAGAAAGTATGTAGAGAGCTGTTACTAAGGAGGTTAAGTTATGAGAGTTAAGAGCACTGCGCCTCACAACATGGGAGGATGTAACAAACCGAGGGGATTTTAACATAACATACAAGATACTTAGGGCACCGTACAAGGTGAACAGGAAAAACTTGTATTTAGTGAGAGAAAGAACAAGCGGACATAAGTTGGAGTCGGAAACACAAATTAATAGAAGAAAGATAAGGACATACTCATACCCTGCATGTGTAGGCAACTGGTGGAATGCACTGAAGCCTCTCTTCAAAAAATTTAAGACAAGATCCGACAAAGAATGTGAACGAGAATAGATAGGTATAGAACGAGAATAGAAAAGTAGGTAAAGCATTTGCCCAAAACGCTGTGCGTATTAGTGGCTTTAGGAATTGTATGTACAAGCCCTATCTATAAATCCAATATTAAGTGTGTATGTTGACCAGACCACACACTAGAAGTTGAAGGGACGACGACGTTTCGGTCCGTCCTGGACCATTCTCCTCGACTTGAGAATGGTCCAGGACGGACCGAAACGTCGTCGTCCCTTCAACTTCTAGTGTGTGGTCTGGTCAACATACTTCAGCCACGTTATTGTGACTCATCGCCTGCATTAAGTTTGTAATTCATCTTCTATGTATGTACTTTTACCTGAATGAAGATTATGATTTTGATTTTGGTTTACAGCGTTATGATGCGAACAAAAGTCGTCAGCGTAGCACTTGTTCCAGAAGTGTTCGGACGTCATCAGTCGGGAGTCGAGTGTAAACCGTTTATCATTCATAAACAGGAGATTTGGCGGGTGCATGGAATTATCTTTGACCTTCGTTTACAAGGTCGCGCTGCCCTTAGTCACTGATAGGTAAGTACCACCCCCACGATCACTACCCCATCACCCCCTTTCCCTGGACACACCACCACCAACCATCCACTCTCGCCAAACCATTTACTACCGCACCACCCCCTTCTCTGCACACACAACCATCAACCACCCCACCATCCACCACCCCCCACCGCTCCACCACCACCCCCCTTCCCAACACATACCACCACCAAGCACCCCACCATCGCTAAACTAACCACTATCCCACCACCCCCCTTCCCAACACATACCACCACCAAGCACCCCACTATCGCTAAACCAACCACTATCCCACCACCCCCCTTCCCAACACATACCACCACCAAGTACCCCACCATCGCTAAACCAACCACTATCCCACCACCCCCCTTCCCAACACATACCACCACCAAGCACCCCACTATCGCTAAACTAACCACTATCCCACCACCCTCCTTCCCTAGACATACCACCACCAAACACCCCACCATCGCTAAGCCAACCACTACCCCACCACCTTCCCTGCACACACAACCATTAACCATCCCACAATCCCCCTCCCTCGCTAAACCATCCACTACTGTGCACCCATGATCTACCCAGTACCCTCCACCTTCACACCACCAATAACCGTCACCCACTATCATACATCGTACATCGTATGATCATCAATCATCCTGTAAGGGTGCTGGGAGCACCCTTACAGGATGTTCTCCTGTACATCAGTTCTCCTCGTGTACAACAGTGAAAAGCGATCCATTCACTCGCAAAATATTCACCAGTGAACTTGGGCTGGATGGTAGAGCGACGGTCTCACGTCATGCAGGTCAGCGTTTCATCCCCGACCGTCCAAGTGGTTAGGCACCATTCCTTTCCTCGACCCATCCCAAATCCTTATCCTGATCCCTTCCAAGTCTTATATAGTCGTAATGGCTTGGTGCTTTCCCCTAATTGTTCCCTCCCTCCTGTCGCTGGTCGTCCTCCAAATGAGCAGATTGCTTCTCCACCCTGGTCAGGCTCTCCGTGTTAGACAGCCCGGCCCTGTGTGCCCTCTTTTGTTTAATATTTTTTTCTCCATCTCCTCTTCTCCATGCCTGACACAACACACAGTCGCCAGTTGTGGGGTTTACATCTCTCCCTTCTCTTCATTCGGGGGTTTATCGATCATAGTACTTCTTCATCAGGTTGACGTTTCACACCTGGGATTTCCTGGGTCGATCAGGCATGTGCACAACGTAGTTTACCTGCCCCAACACCTTCTGCATCATGTATGGTCCACAGAACCTTGACTCGTACACATTTCCTTTAACGAGCAGGAGGACTAACACTTGTTCCTCTTCTTGGAACTTTCTCTCCTTAGTCTTCCTGTTGTACTCCTTCAAAATCTCCGCCGAGGACATCTTCAGATTCTTCTTGGCTAACTCTCGTGGGATGAGATTGACTGTGAAAAGTCAAAAGTGAGAGCGACCTAGAGAGTCGCTCTCCAAAAATCTTCACATATTGTCCTATACCAATCTTCTCTCTTTCCTCTGTGAGTTGTTCCCTCAACACACTCACCAGACTCCTCCCCAAGTGTCCATACACTAATTGGAAAGGGGTGAATCCTAGGAATTTCACTATCGTATCACGGATAGCGAACAATACCGACGGCTACGCCATGTCCCACTTTTCTCCTTCTTCAGCACAATGTATTCTCAGCAGGCTCTCCAACGTCCAGTGGAACCTTACCAACTCACCGTGCGATTGAGGATGGCACTGCGACAAACATACCTGCTCTACTCTCTATCCTTTCATAGTTTCCCTAAACAACTTTGATGGAAAACACTCCCTAGGTCCATCTGGATTACTTTTAGCATGCCTACCCAGGCAAAGTAGTTTTTGCATCTTGTCCAAGATGGCCCGTGTCGTCAACTTCCTCAGTGGGACTGCTGCCGTGAAACGAGTTGCCGTACACATGATGGTGAGTAAGTACTCGTGGCATTTCTTGGTCTGTGGCAATGGATCCACACATTCCACTAGGATCCTTTCGAAAGCCTTACCTAAAGCCAAGATGGGGTTTAAAGGTGCTTTGGGTATGGCTGGTGCCGGCTTAACCGCATGTTGACAAGGCAAACATGTCTTACAATGTTTCTTCACATCTTACCACATACTGGCCCAATAAAAGTGTTCTTGCAACTTCCTCAAAGTCTTCTTGACTCCCAAGTGTCCTGCCATATCTGAAGAATGTGCTAATTCCATCACTACAACCCTGAAATTTTTAGGCACCAATACTCGGCGTTTCTCTCTCCATGCTTGATCTGTGCCGGCTCTATTTCCTCATTAGTACGGCGTGTTCCACATAATAATTTATTGGGGTCTCTCGACCGGAGATCCTCCCTTTTGCCTCTCTGATCTGTTTCTCAAATTCACCTTTTGGTATTAATCAGGTGCACTCGGTTTTCATTCCATCTTTCTGGTAGGGCCATCTTCACCTCTGACCTTGCCATGATCTTACCCTCTCGAGATAGACCCTCATCAAACAGCCCTCCTATCTCCACTTCAGTCTCCTCCTACAGTTGGGATGACACTGTTACGTCGCCTCGAGTGTCTTCATCGTCAGCAACCTCTGACCTGGCCACCACACAGGCAGGGTTCACAATGACTTGGCTGTCCTCTGACTCATCCTCCAAGATGTCAGCCAGATCCACTTTTCAGGTGTCCTGTCGTTACTGTGGGCTTTCTGGCACACCTCCATTTGTCTTTATTATCAGCGCCGGCAACACCTTTGACCCGGACAAGCCGTTTCCTTGGATTACATGTAGCCCTGGACCAGTTATGTACGGACACTCCCAACATCACCTATGCCGTCAAATCATCAGACCTCAAACTGACAGCACATATGGGCATGTCACTCTGACAATAACCCATGCACCTTTATTCTGCGACTGTCAGCTAAACGTCTCCCATTACAAATCAGGCTCTGATTCGCCCCAGTGTCTCTAAGGATTTCCACTTCTTTTTCAGGTTGGTCTCCCAAGCTGACCCAACCTTTGTCGATGAAAGGATTATACCTCTCGTTCATGCACCTCTTCTTTTGCGTTTCATGCCTCATTAAATTCACACATGAGTTCCTAGTGTCACATACTGCAAGGTCACCACTTTCTTGCCTTGTCTGCAATCTCTCATCACGTGCTCATACTTATTGCAATTGTTACACCTTTACTGGGAGATATTCCTTATCCATCCAGTACTATTTTGTCAGAGTTGCTCCTTTGACTCTGTCCTCTTGCCATGTCTTCACTCCTCAGCACAGGCCCTCCACCTGCACTAGGCTGAATCTAGCTGGTTAACGAACGTTTCTGTACCGACTTTATCTCTTGCTTGTCTCCTGCAACAGGACCGTGAAACTTCTTCTCATAGGGTTTAGGGCTCATCTGCTTACTCATTTGTCCACTAAAATTTGTCTCTCTCCATGATCCACTGCGTCTGTTAAAGTTCTGTCGTGCATCACTCCTCATCTTGCTCTCTCTTAAGCTTCGGTTGGGTTCTGAGATCATGTCTGCTCTGTTTTCTGCATCCTTGACATTTCTCACTCCTGCCTCCTGAATTTTAAACTTTGTTCCGGGATGTATCATCTCTAAAAACGTCTTTATCACTATTAACTGCTTCAGATCAGTACTGACTCTACTCCAACAGCCTCAATCCAACTCTGGAAACGTCGCTCCAGGTCCCTAGCTGTATCTGCGAAAGTGCTGGTTGGAGCTTTCACCATGGCCCAAAACTGCTTCCTATAAGCTTCCCGGATTAGGAAAAAAAAATTTCAATACAATATTCTTCACCGTCCAGTAGTCTTGACACTCCTTTAGAGTCAACCGAGTATACGCCTCTCTGGCAGCACCAGTCAATCTCAACTACACTAATTATGCCTATTCCTCTTGGGGCCACTGCTTAAGACCGGCAACCTTCTCAAAGTGA